TGGTGTGCAAATTCAGTCAATTCCATTAAAAATGTGGCTACAATCATTAAAATACCGAACATCGGTATAAATACTTTTTATGGGGGATATACGATGTGCAGGACCAAATCTCTTCCTGGTGGTACAGCACTCACAAATAACTCTCAAACTTGACCTGTGTACCACACAAAAGACAGATCTTTGCAAAATTTTAGCTTCCTATGTTAATTAATTTACAGGACAAAATCGTCTTAGAATCGTACGATGTTCAAGAATATACATGCTTTGTTAGGTTTAAAATTATATATTATGTATACAAATATTGTTTTTAATATTTGGTCAAAAATTGTGTAGCATAGAATATTTAATTTTTTTCGATGAGGACGGTGCTACCGGATATATTTATGAATACGCCCCTTAATGGAGTACATAAATGTAACTTCTATATTTATACCCTACAACACTATGTGTTGAGAGTATTATAAGTTTGATTGGGCCAAAAATTATGTAACACCTCGAAATATTGGTTTCCCACATACGAAAGTATATATGGATCTTCCTAGCTCGCCGAGCTGAGTCGATCTAGCTATGTATGTCCGTCCGTCCGTCTGTCCGTCTGTCCATGTTAATTTGTAATCACTCTACAGGTCACAATTATGGTCCAATCTTCACGAAATTTAGAATGGATGTGGGGCTAGGGTCAGAATAGAACTCTATTTCTTTTGGAGATAATCGCATAATATTTAGGGGTTGAAATGGACCAAAAACTGAAAAAATTCCTCATTTTGCAGTTGCTCTACAGGTCGCAATTATAGACCAATCAAGTTAGCATAGGGCTAGGGCTGGGCAGAATCCTTCCAATTTTGATGGTCATCGGGTAATATTTAGTGGGTAAAATAGGCCACAACATTTGTGTTAAATAAAAGTTAAATTTTCCATTAAACCGCGAATATTTTTAATCCCGGCGAAATCACAAATAGACGAACAGGTCTATTCTGACCGTTACGTAGATGCCGATAGTAAATATATCGGTTATATATAGTGAAATATATACAACGTATAAATACAAAGGAAGGGATTGTTAGCTAGAATGCTTATATCTCAAGAATGGCTGGACCGATTTTGACAAAGTTTGTCAATTCAGAATGCCCTCTTAGCATAAAAGTATAAAACCTAAAAAAATCGCAGAAAAATATGCCAACAAAGATGTTAATATAGATTTTGTAGTATTTTGTGACATTTTTTTATTTTTCATATTTTTTATCGCATGCGACTTTTTCAATTTGAGTTATAATATTTTTTGACCTTACAACACAGGTTGGGGATATTAAATGCATATTGCAATTATCGTCCGATCCTCACGAAAAAGGTAGGGTAAGGCTCGGAAGGGCTAGGCCCATTGTTTTCAAAGATGTCCGCAATATATTTAGGGGTTGAAATGAACCAACAACTAAAAATTTTCCTGATTTCCTGTCGAAATCTCGCATGAAGTTAGAGTTTAGGACAGTGGGTAGAATGGACCACTATTTCTGTCTGAAAAATACCAACATTACTTACAGGCGACATCCGAAATACACAAAAGGCGAACTTCTGGCTTTTTTATGCCGATTTCGTTGACGAAGATAGCCAAATATATAACCAATGCTGAGTGTAATATCTGGGCTGTGCACCGCGAAATCTTCCAAAATGGATTTGGACATAAGGGGGCTTCTAACATATTGTAGAGTTGTAGGGTATCACATGGTCGGCCCGCACGACTATAGCCTTTGCTTACTTGTTTTTTCGATGAGGATGGTGCTAACGGATATATTTATGAATACGCCCCTAGAATTAATGGAGTACATAAATGTTACTTCTATATTTTTAAAATATTTATAGGAAGGCAAAGCAACACTTGCGGAATTTTGTGTATAAAAACGCATACAAACGCATGTAGAATAGGCGAGAATATTACATTGCCTCAGATTAAGTATCATATTTTAAATCTCCAGCCTATGATCGCCAATCTAATATAAAGTTTTTAAATCCAAATTATGACCACTGGCAGATACACGTGCGAAGAGTGTTTGCCATTTTCGACAATAGGTTGTCTTTAATCCCCTTTTGGATTTCAAATCCCCTTTTGGATTTCAATCGAATAATGCATGAGTACAAAAGAAGAACTAAAATATATTGCAAACGATTTTCCCCGAGTAATTTAATGTGGTCCGTTTTTTATTGTTAAGGGCAATGTAGTATTCAGTTAAACGAACATCATTTAGATTTACAAATCACTTATCATTTGTAACAGAGCGTTTTGTTGATTATCACTGAAATCAAAAATTACTTCATGACAGACCATGAATGAATGCAATGGAACTAAATACACCATCATCATCATCTTGGTCGTCAATGGACAACGGGGCAGCCAACTAAACGGACAAACAAACACCCACAATCAACAGATTAGTGGCTCAGAAAGAAACGGGCAAATTTCAATCAAACAATAGAAGCTGGAAATGACTAGCTTGCTGACAGTTAACCATATGGAAAGCGAGTCAAATGTCCATAACGTTTATTGTTATATAATGTGCGAAAAACTTGAAGAAAATCCACAAAAATACATTTGGATGAAAAATGTTAAATAACATTTTAGCATGACACGTAAGAGCCGCAAGCTATGAAAAGCCAAAGAAAAGTACATACAGAGAAGACATAATGTGCACTGACCATGGCAATGGAACAACCATAAGTTGCTACTAACGTGAAACATGCGAACTGAACCCTAATAAAGAGGTTGACAGCTACAGTTTTTGAAAAAAAAAGAAAAAAACAAAAACAAGTTAAAAACCAATAAGTTCGGTCGGGCCGAACTCTGAATACCCTCCACCATTTTGAACGAATTTCGAAATTTTAAAAAAATAAAATCTTTAAAAAATTCTGTTAAAATTTTAAAAATATCGAATATAGCCGTTTTTTTGGGGTCTACATAGGCATTGTTTGTCATAAGCCATTACCATTTTCAAATTCGAAAACTTGAAAATATTATCAAAATATCGTATATACGGAGGTATCGTTATATCGGAACTGTGCGAAGACCGGGACCAGCATAGACAATTTTCTGTCACAGGCTGTAGCATCCATTACGAACTTTAAATACGACATCTCAAACAATTTCGGTGGGTATTGTACCTAAACTAGTCAAAATACCGAATATAGGGAGGTACCGTAATATGGGGGCTATACGAAGACGTGGACCTGCACAGACAATTTTCTGTCACAGGCTGTAATATCCATTACGAACTTCAAATACAAAATTTGAAACAATTCCTGTCAGTTTCGCTAAAATCATCTAAATACCGAATATCGGGAGGTACCGTTATATGGGGCAATGCGAAATTAATAATAATTTTTCTGTCTTAGGCTGTACTATCCCTTTGGAACTTCAAATATCAAATTTGATACAATTCCAGGGAATAATGTCGCTAAAAACATTAAAATACCGAATATCGGGAGGTACCGTTGTATCGGGGCTATATGAAGACTTGGACCTACATGACCCATTTACGAACTTAACCTGGGAAAATAAACATGTGTGCAAAATTTTAGCCTTCTATCTCAATTCGTTCGAAAGATAGACAGACGGACAGACAAATCGACTTAGAATTTTACGCTGATCAAGAATATATATACTTTGTTGGGTCTTACATGAGTATTTCGAGGAGTTACAAACGGAATGACAAAGTTAATTTACCCACCATGGTATGGGGGGGGGGTAAAAAAACATGCCTTAAGCCCAGCATCACCTTAAAACTAGAACAACAATTGTTTTTTAAACAGTCTTCCAAACGAAGACCCTATGGTCTTCAATCCAAGACCTCTGGTCTTCTAAACGAAGTCCCTATGGCCTTTTAAACGAAGTCCCTCTGGATTTCTAACGAAGAGTCTCCGGTCTTCGATATGAAGACCGTCTTAACTTCTAAACTACGGACTTTTCTACGAAGATTTTCTGTTTTTTTTTTTTTTTTTTTTTTTTAACCAAGACCTTCTGGTTTTCTATACGAAGACCTTCTGGCCTTCTACACCAAGACATCCTGGTTTCCTATGCGAAGAAATTGTGGTCTCCTATACGAAAAACTTGTGGTCTCCTACACGAAGACCTTTTGGTCTCCTACACGAAGACTTAAACGAAGACCCTTTGGTCTTCTAAATGAAGACGCTCTCGTCTTCTAAATGAAGACGCTCTCATCTTCTAAACGAAGTACCTCTGAACTTCCAAACACAGATCCTCTGGTCTTCTTTACGAAAACCTTCTGGTATTCTATACGAAGACCCTCTGATCGTGTAAATAAAGATGCTCTGATCTTCCAATCGAAAGTCCCACTGGTCTTCTGGAAGACCCCCCGGTCTTCTAAACGCAGACCTTCTGGTCTTCCGCATACCCTTTGGTCTTCAAAACGAAGACCTTCCGGTCTTTTATGTTACTATGCTCTTCTAAACGATGACCAAACAAAGTCTCTCTGGTATTGCAAAGGAAAACGCACTGGTCTTCTGCACGAAGACCTTCTGTTCATCTAAACGAAGTTCCTCTGGTCTTCAGAACGAAGTCCCCCGGACTTCTAAAAGAAGACTATCTGGCATTCTGAGCTAAGTCCCTCCGGTCTTCTAAACGGAAAACGACAATACTGTGCAAATTACCCTCGTATGTAAATAAATAATACACTGAAGTGGTCTGTACTGTTTGTTTTGATGAATTGTTCCTTCCTTTTTATGTTCTCATGTTTTTTTTTTCAACTTTGCCATTTTGGCAGATTATAGCCCAGCATTAAGCACTCAAACGTTGTTGTGTTTTGTTAGCAAAAATACAAAAACACGAAAAATGTAACATCTAATGTTTTGCATTTAACGGTAATGATGTAAACTCTCAACTCTTTCGTTCACCCAGTGACCCATTGTCTGGTGGTCTCCTATAAAATAGTGGGTGGTTGTTTTAGTAACTTTAGTTTCCGCTTAATAACCATCGAATCTTGACGCGAAACGAAATGATAAATAGTAACGAACGGTTTATATCGCGACAAATTTTCTTGTTGCTGATATTTAGTAGTGTATTCGTTTGCGGATTAACAAATTCTACAAAGAAATCAGAAAATTTACAAGAATTTAAATATTGTTTAAAGAATTTGAAACAACCCAGTATTCGAGAATGTATTGGTCGCAGTGCAATTAGTTTTCTGCAACGTTTCGATGAAAGAGACAATTATACGTTGACCATGGATTTGGTAGCCACTAAAACGGATAATGTAGCCAGCCGTTCATTGGTGAATTTTTTGGACACCGATCCAGTGGATGTTAGGTAAAGTGGCAGACATGGAAATATTTGAATATATGTGTGTGCGTTTTGCAAGTACAAATGAATGCTGCACAGTTGCCATATCTGAATGGTGATCGAATAAGGAAGTGAAGAAGTATCTGATAGGTGTATTGAAGTGTAGTAATAAATGTGTAAGATATATTATATGCAATATAAGCAGTATCGTATCTCACAGGGTGTCACTTATATGCAAATTTAAATGACTTCAAAGCACCGCATCAAGAATAGTGTTGTCTTATCTTAAGAATTACATATATTCGAAATGATTTAGGTATAACTCATGTAAAAATAGATTTTTACCCACTTTTCAAGCACAAATATAAGTCTCCCTCGACATTAAGCGGAAATGGATACTATTAAGTGGTTGACATGGATCATAATTTTGTATGGAAAATATTAAAGTTCCGTTCAACTGCGAATATTTAGTGCTTCCCGGCGGGTTCGTTTATTCTAAAGATTCCCATATCTATCGATTTTCATATCTACAGAAACGTTATATTCTTGATCAGCATAAAATTTAATGTCGATTTAGCCATGTCCGTCCATATGTGGAAATCACTCAAGCCTCCGAACAAAATAAAGTAGGTAGAAAAAATTTTACTCACATGTATTTTAGTTCTTCTGGATTTTTCGTACTGACCATATAGGTTCACATTCTGATTTCACCCCCATATAATTGTACCAACAGGTCTAGAGTATTCTGGGGTTTTAATCATAATTTAAAACTGAATCTAAGAACCGAATTGGCGTTCCCACTAAATAGGAAACATCCTAGCAGAGAACTGTCTTCATACGTCCAAGTTTTGGAATAATCCCCAAAGTACTGAACCTCCAAATACAGGGTTGCCCATATTCGACGGACCTTTGGGCCCATTCCAATCGACGAGGCTTGTCCGCAGGCAACATTCTTTGCGTCAATAGAATTTTGTACGAGAATAAACGCAAATTAATGCGAATAATCCGTTGTAAAGTGGACCGAGGCATGCCCAACTGCTGAGAACGGCGTTTTTGGGATGTTCTTGGGGACCTCTCAACAATGGCTCGTACGGCAGCGATATTCTCGGCCGATCACCTTGGTCTACTTTTATATGGCCTCTTCGGATTAGAAAGAGCCTTACCAGTCGAAAATTTTTCGTATAAACGCTTAATGGTGTTCCTAGAAGGCGCACTTCTCACATTTTTTAATGTTTTAAAAGCACGTTGAGTTTTCACAATTTACTTCTTCTGTGGAATGTAAATTTCAGAGGGCTCGCGTGTATTGGTTCATGATAAAAATCTGCTTGGACTGACGCTTCAAACGCGTTATGTCATTAAGCGATGTCACATCTCTGTCAAAAGTTATGGCGTTGCCAGATGGGTCTGTCGAATATGGGCAACCCTGTATAGGGTCTATTTATGAAATTGTTTCAAATATGGTGTTTGGAGTTCGTAATTGTTACTAAAGCCTATATCAAACAAGTAGGCAACGGCTATAGCCGTGCGGGGCCGACCATGTAATACCCTACAAAACTACAATATGCTAGAAGCTCCATTATGTCCAAATCCATTTTGGAAGATTTAGTTTTTTAAATTGTGTCACGGAACACTGCCCAGATATTACACATGGTCATCCAAATGTTAGAACTCTTCCCTGTCCTTAACTCTCTTCTCATGAGTGTTGATTGGCTTCAATTGTGTGGCCAGGAAATTTTTTCTTTATTTTTAGTAGTTGGTCCATTTCCACCTCTAAATATATTGCGGTCATCTTTAAAAACAATAAACCTAGCCCTTCTGATCCTAACCCTACCCTTGTGCAGGATCGGACGATAATTGCAATCTTTATATAAGGTGAAAAAATATTACAAAAAGTACACTTCAATATTATAAGTCAAATTGAAAAAACCGCTTGCGATAAAGAATATGAAGAAATAAAATAAAAATATCAAAAAATACTACAACCTCTATTTAAATTGTTATTGGCATCTTTTTATGCGATTTTTTAGAGTTTATTCTCTTATGCCAAGAGGGCATTTTGAATTGACAAAATTTGTCAAAACGGTCCAGATGTAAGCATTGAGATATAAGCATTTTAGCTAACATCCCTTCCTTTGTATATACACATTGTATATTCTTCGCTATATATATCCGATATATTTACTATAGACATTTACGTGACGGTCAGAATTGACCTTTTCGGCTAATTGTGATTTCGCCGGGATTAAAAATATTCGCGGTTTAATGGAAAATGTGACTTTTATTTAACACAAATTATATTATGGTCTATTTCACCCACTAAATATTACCCGATGACCATCAAAATTGGAAGGCTTCTGCCCAGCCCTAAGTTAAGATCCGCTTCGATTGGCCTATATTTGTGACCTGTACACTGAAGGAGAAAGCTTCATATCATAAATGAATTCCTACTTTCGGTCAATGAAATTTTTCATTGATTGTGAACCAACGTAGAGGTTCATTGAATGAATGAAAAAAGTTTCATTGAGTTTCATTAACGTAAAATTAACGAAATTGTTCATTAATATAATGATATTCTTCATTTAATTATTTTTCCTCAGATTTGTCTAAAAATTGGTATTTGTAGTTCGTTCCTGTGTCGGAACATTGTTGATATAGATCCATGTCTTCGTATAGCCATATTTTTCACTGGGATTGATTCAAATTTCGTATTTGAAATTATAAATTCGTACTAGAGCATATGACAAAAAAAATACTTTTGCAGGTCGAGATCTTCGTATCCCCCATATAAGGGTTTTCATTTAAGTGATATATTTCGAAATATTTTTAAAATTTTTCGATATCCCTCAAAATGGCGGAGGGTATTAAAATTTCGGCGCGGCCGAACTTTGCTGTTTTTTACTTCTACACTGTGATAGTAGGTATTACACCACACTGTGATAGATGGTATTTGTCGTTGCGCATTTGTTTGTAACAGGTAGGAATACGCGAAATAAACCATTCACAACTTTCTTTATAAAATCACATTCTGAGTCGGTTTATGAATCTCATTAAGTCTGACCGTCTGCCCACGTATTTTTATGAAGAAAATGCAGGTCGCATTTATTGTCGCCTGTTATTGAGATGATATTTTCCAGGCTTCATTTGTTTGGCCTAGAACGAACTCCATATCGTAACGTTTTATTCATTTTATGAAACTGCTTCATTAAATTGGCGAACTAATAATATTTTCACGATTTAAGCCATATTTTCGTCGGAATTGTTTCAAATTTTGTATTTAAACGACAGAATATTGCCCACAATTTTGTATGGCCCCTCTGAAAACTGAAACTCTTTATATTCGGCACTTTGCAACTTCCTTCGTCCCGGCTGAACTTAGCTGCTTTTTTACTTTTTTTTCTCATTTTTATGCCCTCCACCATACTATGGATACACGTTTTCGTATAGCCCCCATATAACGGTACCTCTCAATATTCGGTATTTTGATGATATTAGAGACATTATAGACCGAAATTGCTTTGAATTTCGTTTTAGAAGATTTTAATAGATACGTCAACCTATGACAGAAAATTGTGTATACAGGTCCACGTCTTCGTATACCCCACATACAAAAGACATTTTGATGATATTAGAAACATTATTCAAAGGAATTGCTTAAACTACGTTTGAAGGTCCAGCGAGTGTTATATACCTAAATTCATTGCAAAAAAAAAGTCACTAAATAATATGTGTCCTCCCTTTACAGAGGTATTTTGGAAAATGCGGGTGCTGTATTCAGTCAACGTGCATTGGAATGGCACATGGATGCAATATATCCAGGATTAATGTTAAAAATTGGTCCTTCGGCCGATAAGAACAGTGTAGCTGAATTTGTACTCGACCCAACGGTCATTGATGAAAGGAATTTCAACATTGAAGAAGCTTCAACAGGTTGGTGTTCATAAACTTACCCTTACCTCCAAAATAAGCAAAGACTTAACCACTAACCATTATTTTTTCAACAACTCTCTCGTTGCAGCACGCATTTTAACCAAACAATATGTCTTACCATTTCTTCTTGGCCTCAAATTCAACTTGGTAGCATTGGTGCCAATACTGTTCACCGTTATTTGCCTACTGCTAAAGAAATCTCTATTCATAGCTAAAGTAGTTGTTTATATTAGCAGCGTTTTAGGCATTGGTGGTGTTGCTGGTGCTGTTTCATCGCTGGGTGGTTGGGGTAGTCTATTTGCCCCACCATTGCCGCCAGCCAGCCCATATCCACATCAACACCATGGTGGACATTTCCCCGGTGGTTTTGGATTTGTGCCGGGCAAACAAACGGCGTTTTCACATTTCGATCAAGACGAACTACAACACACGGGTCCCTATAAGCGGCAAGATCGTAAGGTGGTATTTGAAAAACCACGAGGAAAATGAGAATAAAAATAACAACAACGTTATTGATGATAAAATTGTGCGTTCAACGTTGGCGCCTGCGTTGACTACACCACCATTGGATAATTTCTATAATTTTGAAAAACAAATGCTTTTACACGATCGCAGCGGCCGAATGAGACATGGTAGCGGCAAACTGGGCCCTTCGGCTTACGATGAGGAGTATGATGAAATGCCCGGAGTAATAAATGTTTCTTCTAATCATCGTTTTAAGACATCAAATGATAATTCTGGATGGAAAATTGTACGAGTTTAGGTTTTAAGTTTTTATGAGGCATGTGTATTGAAGTTAATCTGTATTCTTGTCAGTTAAGTCGAAATTATATAATGTTTGTTAAACTAATTATAATAAAATGCTGATTCAATTTGTATTATCAGTGGATTTTTATACCCTACACCACAAGGTGGTCAGGATATTATGTCTTTGTGCATTTGTTTGTAACAGGCAAAAGGAAACGAGATAGACCCATAGTTCCTTTTGATGATCTGCATAGAATCACATTCTGAGTCGATTTATGCATGTCCGTCCGTCTGTCCGCCTGTCCATGTATTTTTGTAAACAAAGTACAGTTCGCATTTATTGCCCTATCCAGATGAAATTTTGCACAAATCATTTGTTTGGACGAACCTTATTGAAATTGGAGATAATCGGTCAAAATTTAGATATAGCTCCCATATATATCTTCGTCCGATTTGCCTTTTATTGTGCACCAAACGTGTAATATCAGTCCGAATAGTATGGAATTTTGCACGTACGATCAGATTGAACCAGAAAATAAGTATGCCAAATTTGATCGAAATCGGTTCAGATATAGCTATAGCTCCCATATATATTGTTCATCCGATTTGTTATTTTTGTCCTTCGCAGCCGTAATATGCACTCTGTAACAACAATATTTGGGCAAATATAGCAAATAAAGCTCGGAAATATCCTTGCCAAATTTTATCGAGATCGGTTCAGATTTGGATATAGCTCCCATATATTCGTCCGATTAAGCTTTTATTGTGCAACAAACGTCTAATATTTGTCCAAATGGAATGGAATTTGGCACTTACGACCGAATTGAGTCTAGAAGCTAGTATGTCAAATTTGGTGAAGATCGGTTCAGATATAGCTATAGCTCCCATATACATTTTTAACCGATTTGTTGTATTTGTTGCCCACAGCCGTAATATGCACTCCGTAACAACGATATCAGGAAATATATCAAATACAGCTCAGAAATATCTTTGCCAAATTTTATCGAGATCGGTTCAGATTTGGATATAGCTCCCATATATATCTTTATCCGATTTCAAATTAATTGTGCCCAAAATGGTCAATACAATTCCGAATTTAAAAGATACAAATGCTTCGGCATATTTAGTCCTTTGAACTTTAAATTATAATCATAGCGTGTATGATTGAATTCCCCCATAAAAACTTTTAATTGTTATGTGGAGCTCTACTAAATTAGAAAGTGGTGTAGGGTATCATAAAGTCGGTCCCGCCCGACTTTAAGGCTTTCTTTACTGGTTTCTTTTTTTTACAGTGCCGAGAATAAACTAAAACGTCCACAAATCCCAAAATAATATCTGTAAAACAATATTCGGATATTATAAAAATGTCCTTTATGACGTTTATTACCCCAGTAACTGATAAATACTACATACCGCTGTAGTAAGGAAGGAAATTTGAAGTTTTCTATTTGTAAATAAAATATGTATACACATTTTAAATGTGCGAATAAACTTCGTTTAGATTTTAATTATTGCTTTTCTTCGTTTGATCTCTTGACCTCGTGACCAAATTTAAGAATTCTATCTCAATCCCAACAGCCAACAATGACATATTTTGTGGCATCTTACACTTTTCGTACGTTCATAGGCCTCATTTCCAAAACCACCTTATTCTCTGTATCCCTTCACCAAATACCAGATTCAGTAGCATAAAGTATATAGTACACATTTCAAAACTATCTCCATATCTCAACTTTAGATACCAATCAATTAATATCAAATTTCATTTCTGTAATTTCTCCCTTTACCATATTTTGTTCCGTTTAGTACAATTAAAATACGCATATTCCAAACCAGCTCCTTCACTCAACCACAGTTACCAACAGTGACATCCATATCAAATTTAAGGATTCCTGCTCTATCCATTCACCCAACATCAAATTTAGCCACAATTAGTACTTTTTGTACAAATATAGTAGACATATCCAAACAAACTTCACATCCAAATCCTAGATACCAACAGAGCCGAATCGAATTTCGGGATACTAGATCTATGCCTTCAACCACAATACCCAATTTAGTACTTTTCGAACGATTATAGTACATTTTTGAAACCACCTCCATATGTTCGGGCTACACATGGTACCAGAAGGAGTAGATCGATATTGTCCATCTCCGAAATCGATCCTAGTTTGATAATAATATTACTATGTATCTATTTTGAACGAAGTCAGCAATCCCTTGGAAAGTATCATGCACCCCAACAAGACAAGCAAATGGAAACCATACTATCGATTCCAAATATTTTAAAACGGATACCTATGGTCTGAGATTTCGATGAGACAATTTTGACCGTATAAAAAGATATACAGAGTGATAAAAAACAGCAACAAAGTCAAACGCCATAATTTTACATTTTTTTTAAATTTATTGAATGAAAGCAAAAAAAGGGAAATAGCATACAATTTTAGAATAAGTTTAGATTGTTCGAATTGGTCACCTTTGGCACGAATTATTCCCTTCAAACGGCCAATGAAACAGTCCCACGCTGCCCGAATGTTGCTCTGCGGTATTTTGGCCCATTCTCGGCGAAGCGCTTGCTTGAGGTGATCGACACTTTGGTATTTTTTAGCACCAACCTTGCTTTCCAAAATACTCCAGACACAATAGTCCAACGGAAATGAAGCGGGGAACCTCATCTTGTAACCATTCTTGGGTGGCGCGTGCTGAGTGCGATGGCTTTGAGTCATGTTGGAATGTCCAAGGTCTGTGCCCAAATTTTGGGGTGTCCAAGACTTTAGTACACCATTCAGGAATATTTTCGCGATAATATTCGGCATTTATTCTGATGTTATGGTCGATTTATACGAGCGGAAAGCGACCACCGGCTGTTATGGCGGCTCACACCATCACCATGGCCGGCGCTTGAGTTCTGATGGCCAACCGAAGGTACATATTTTCAGCTGACCTCTTTGTTTTTGGAATATTTCGCTTTTGAAATTATGTCATAACGCACTGCTAAGGGTAACGCATTTTGACCGGAGACATTTGCCAAATATTCACGCACTCCGTCGTGCCGTTAGTTGGTGTGGTACACGTTTGCAGCTAAATAGAATAGAATGGTCATCCAAATGCTAGACTGTCATAAACTCTCTTCTCATGCAAATTTGGTGTCGATTTGTTTCAATTGTGTGATCAGAAAAATTTTTCGGTTCTTTTGAACCCCTAAATATTTTGATATCATCCCCAAAAACAAGAGGCAGCTCTGTAATCCGAATTAATACTCATCTATATGATTTGCTTGTCTACGATATTTGGCTATATTTGGCAACGAAATCACACAAAAAAACAGACGTAGTCATTGGTGTATTTTGGATTTCGCATGAAGTTATTTGGTTGGTCCATTTCAACCCCTAAATATATTGCGGACACCTTTAAAAACAATAGGCTTAGCCATTATGAAAATGTTTCTGAGGAGAGGACGATAATTGCAATCTGCATATAATAACCCCAACCTGTGCAATTGAAATTTCCGCTCTGTGATAAATCTAAAATGCCGTTCATCCGATTTTATATCAACTGTCTGTGACCCCGCAGTTGTGCAAGATGCATCAACAATTTATTTAATTTGCTTGACCTTTGCTTTAATATTACATAATCTCTTTAAAGAATTTTAATTTTATAGAATTTTAAAGGTCACTAAACACCTCAAACATAATGACTCTAAACATCACTTACTTCATTTCATTCAAATGTACATCAGTTTACATTGCTTGATAATATTCTGTTACTTCTAAAAATAGAAATTAAAAAAATGAAAGTGAAACTGACTAAATTATAGTTTAAAACTGAAGTGACTGTCAACAACACTGCCGTTTTCAAGGTTCAATACATTACCATCGTTTTACTTCACATCTACGATTCTTTCATTTAAACTTTTGAATGATGAAAACAAGCATAGTACACATTTTGACAATGAAAGTTGTTTAAGAGGGAAATTATTTAAGATTTGATCAGAGAATACGCCATGCATAAAAATGTGGGTGTATTTTTTGATTGATGATAATTCACGCTACGCAAGGCATATTACGACTAGCGTTTTCTCCATCAGTGCCATGAAGCATACAAAGAATCAACGGGTTTAAAGACACAGGGTGAGATGAAAAAAACTACAACCAACATAAGACTGCTGTCATTTCTAAGTCACTCGTCCGACAGCTGTTAAAATTATTCCAGTGACAGCCCATTATATTGTTTACAAGCGTACAAAAGCATTTTGGTGAGAATTTTCCAGAAAAAAAGTTATTCCTGATAGAACTCAAGCGTGATAGTGTGATTTTGGTCGCAGACCTTAGACATTCCATCAGACTCTGCACCTTTGCACTTTGCACGCGCCACCCAAGCATGGTTTCAAAATGAGTTTCCTCGCTTCACTTCCAGCGTGCAATAGCCACCAAAATCCCCAGATACCAATCCATTGGACTATTTGGAAAGTAAGGTTGGCATTAAAATATACCAAAGTGTGGATCACCTCATGCAAGCACTCCGCTGGAAATGGGCCAAAATATCACAGAGCACCATTCGGGTGTGCGACGGTTTCATTGGCGGTTTGAAGGCCATAACTCGTGCCAAAGGCGAGCAATTCACACAAATCTAAACTTTTTCTAAATTTTGATTCTATTTCCGACATTTTTTACTTTCATTCAATAAAATTAAAAAAAATGTAAAAACTATGGCGTTTGACTTTGGTGCAGTTTTTTTAT